TAGGACATACATGACAATAAAATGTGGAGCTGCTTCAGTGTTTCTGTCAAATTGTGCAGATCTTGACTCATCAGTAATGTTTGCAGGGTGAGTGCATTTTTACAACAATTTGTGGAAACTGCACTACAAGGTGGATATTTGCAAAATCATGACTACCTCATGACATTTTGTCTCAAAAATTAACCCTATGAATACGTCAGTACCATCAGGATGAAATTATTGTGTCACCAACATTTTGACGTTAGACATATAATTTTAACAGCCTCTGTAAACTAATATCCTGGCTTGCTCAAAGCTGCCGTTTTCTCTGACAGTTTCAATCAAAATTAGAAATGTTACTCTGGGAGACTGAGATAACTAATAGTGCTGCATGTTGTTTCCAAAACACGTTATTCATGGTTACATACAATTTTAGACTGATGTGGGCCAAAGCCTAGCACAGCCTGTAACGTTATTATGACGGACACATTTTATGAGTGAGCTTGACTTTAAGTGACTGACAGGTTTCTTTGAAAAATACTTTCTTATATCCAGGTTCTTCCTTTTGGCTGTCATCCTCCTCTCCTCCTGGCAGCGCAGGATTGCCGCTGCTAAAACTAAACAGAGCTCACTGAAAGGCACAGCCAATCACATTGGCCATATTTGTCACATGACGTAGGACTCTTTCTGCTCTGCTCGCTGAATGAGATGCTGACAGATCGTTTTTTTCTTTCTATCGGGTTTGTTTTTCTTTACTCGAAGAGATCAAATTATTGGTGGGGACAATTCAATAATCGCTGGATATTGGTGGGGACATGTCCCTTCCGTCCATGCCAAATCTATGCCCTTGCTACCGCCCCTCCCCCCTCTACCCAGCGCAAAGCACAAGGCTCGCGTGAAGCGAAAAAACGTGCAAGAAAGAGGGTGAGAGAAAGAAAAGAAACTAAAACAAAAACCCACGGCTCCCAATAAAGAGTGTCGTTCACTTCAAAGAGTCGGCTCTAAGAGCAGTTTCGTTCGCGACCGTCACATGACTACCAGCTCCATCCCCACAACATTACTGGACTTGTGGATCATGTCTGTTGGCATCTGTGACCCTCAACCTGCTGCTCCAGCATGCAACAGCATGGAGGACAGCACTGACCACAACAGAGATACAACAAGAAAACATTAATTAGTAGGGATAGTGAAAACTTCTGTTTACGTTTGTTAGCCACTTGGCTATGATAGTAAACAGTAGACACTGATGTACCTTGGTTAGAGAAAGATTGCTTAGCTAACTGATTGTATTTATTTTCACTATGGATCAGGAGCGGAGTGTGTTTTCATGGGAGCAGAGCTACGGACTGGAGTTTGGAGTTTGTTTATTCACTGTTTATGGACACGAGCACTGTGTGGAATGTGGAGAAGATCACCCTGGGGAACCAAGGTGCCGGGACCTGTATATATTTGCCTGTTACCATTCACTGTAAATAAATTCACAGTTTTCTCTCAGAAGATTCCTGACTGAGCTGCTCACTGAATGCCCCTGGTGTTGGGCTACCCATGGCTCCACCAACCAAGGGTAGAATATTGGGATGGAGTACATGGTGCCATGAGCACCGTTTGCAGTCAGCTACTCCTAGCATTGTGACACCCAAACCCGTTGAGCTGTCTGCTCCACTCAACTTGTCCATCATCCCCTCTGAATACCATAATTTGGCAAGGGTATTCAGTAAGGGCTTGGTGTTGTCACCGGTGCTCCCTTGCCCAGCTGTCGGTTATACAGCCTCTCTAAACCAGAGAGAGAAGCAATGGAGAGGTACATTACAGACTCCTTAGCTGCAGGCATCATTTGGTCCTCAACAATGAAATCACAGTAAAAAAAAAAAAAATCTCTACCACTTCGGTCATCAGCCTTTGAACTCCTATAGGGGGCAACTGTTTTTACAAAGTTAAACCTAGGCAACGCCTATCATCTGGTCCGCATACGTCAAGATGAGAAGTGGAAAACGGCTTTTAATACCTACCTGGGGCACAAGTTAGTCTGGTAGTGGAAGCCAGAGGACAAACTAACGGCCAAGTGGAGAGGGCCAATCAGGAGCCGGAAGCCATCCTTTGGTGTGTCACCTCATCTAAACAGTCTACATGGAGCTTGGAAAGAAAAGCATCTGGACTTGTTTAAGTTGCTTGAAGACGTTTCACCTCTCATCAGAGAAGCTTCTTCAGTTCTAAGGGTCAAAAGGTGGAGAGTCCCAGATTTAAACCTAGTGGGAGTTTCCCCCCAAAGAGGGACAAAGGACCCTCTGATGATCCTCTGCCTAATCACATGAGCCAAGGTGTGAAAGCGGGGTTGGTACCCTAAGGAGGTACCACACCCTTAGGGTACCAATCCCCCCCTCTGTGCCCTCCGTTCAGTACCATATGGTGGCACTGCCGCTGGCCATGGTGGACCACAAGGACAGCGCTCCTCTGGACAATGGAGCAAAATAAGCAACTGGCTGTTGCTCGCGCTCCCAGAATTGTTGGGCTCTAGGTGATCAGTTGGCCCAGAAGTGTTCCCATGCTGTAGGCAGCCACACATGCCGCTCACCAAAAAACATAAACAAAACATCAACATGACATCATGGAAATGATGATTAACTGTGTGTTTTCTCTGTCCTGCTATAACCTAGTGTTTGATTCTTCAGCTGAACTCTGATCATCACACTGAATGCAAGTTTGTAACAAAAACATAAATATCTCTAAATCCCACATAGCAGACAAGTCTGGCCCGTATCTGGTGTCAAGCCGGCACTGCTGGCTGACTTCTGGCGTGGTAAGTGGTATATCATCCAGATATGGGCCAGGCTTGGTGTAGATGGCACTATTTATGTGATGGCATGCCACATCT